CCCACCTCAGCTCTGGTGCCGGAGGGACCCTGCTCCGAGCTGCGCGGAGGGGGGGCGGGGGGGCCTCCGAGGAGGGCGGGGCTAATGCAGATTCAAACTTGGGAGAGCTAAGGCTGGGGTTGGGAATTTATTTTATTTTTTTATTTTCATTGATTTGAGAGAGGAAGGGAGAGGGAGAGAGAGATAGAGACATCAACAATGAGAGAGAATCATTGATGGGCTGCCTCCTGCATGCCCCACACTGGGAATGGAGCCCGCAACCCAGGCATGTGCCCTGACCGGGAATCCAACCATGACCTCCTGGTTCATAGGTTGACACTCAACCACTGAGTCACGCTGGCCCAGCTGGTGTTGGGGGTTTTGAAACCAGAGGAACTGAGGGTAGCGGCCGGTACCCTCCTTAAGCTCTGAAACTTTGGTCTCTCCCTTCAGGTCGAGGAGCAAAATCTGCACTTTATCTCTAAGGTGAGGAGCTGGTGGGGCCCTAAGCCTCCTCTTCCCTCAATGCAAACCTCTCTCCCTGTTCCCCCTTCAATCCGCTCACTCCATCGCCCCTCCTTCACTCTCCTCTATTCCCGTCTCTGCCCTCAGATTCAGCTTTTCTCGGGCCCCGACTTCCTGGGAGACCACATCTCCTTCGAGGATGACCAGGCCTCTCTGCCCGCCTCTTTCCAGCCCCAGTCCTGCCGAGTGCACGGTGGCAGGTGAGGATGTAGGAGAGGGTGAGGGAGGAGGCTTGGAGGTGCTGGGGGTGAGTGCGGAGACAGAGACAGGACGAACCTGCCCTGAAGCGTTTCACTCAGTTTGGAAATCCAGGCTGCAGGAAGAGGGCCTTTATTTCAAACTAGAGGCCTGGTGCACGAATTTGTGCACCAGTGGGGTTCCTCGGCCTGGCCTGCAGGATTGGGCCAAAACCAGCTCTCCAACATCCCCCAAGGGGTCCCGGATTGTGAGAGGGCACAGGCCAGGCTGAGGGACCCCACCAGTGCACGATTGGGGCCGGGGAGAGATGTGGGAGGTTGGCCATCTGGGGAGGGACCGCGGGAGGGCTCCAGGGCGTGTCTGGCCCGTCTTGCTCAGTCCCGATCAGCCAGACCCCAGCAGCAAGCTAACCTACCAGTTGGAGCATCTGCCCCCTGGTGGTCAGTGCACATCATAGCAAGTGGTTGAATGGCCTTAGTATATTATTAGCATATTACGCTTTGATTGGTTGAATGGACGACTGGACACTTAGCATATTAGGCTTCTATTATATAGGATGATGTCCTTACTCTGACTTCCTTAAAATTAGCTATTCTGTCCCAAAGCATTCAATCTTAAACAAAGCAAAATGAAGTTTTAATGGAAATGTAAAACTACTAGTTAGTATAGTATAAAGAACCCCAATCTTGTTTCATCCGTCCCTCTGCCTTTTTTTTTTAGTGGGGTATTTAAAATTCCAGGCCCAACATAAAATTTCACAGGTAAATACTTCCACATGTATCTCTAATAAGAAAGGACCCCTCCCTCATACACACATATAAACACAAGTTATTATAGCATCTAATAAAATTAACAATAATTAATATCTAATACCCAGTCCATGTTTAAATTTCTCCTGTCGTCTCAAACAATGCTTTTTAAACTTGGTTTGTTTTTCTCAGGATCCAAACAGGATCCACACATTACATTGGGCCAATTTGGTCTCTAGTGTATAACAAGCCCCCCTCCTCTTCATTTTGTTTTATACCATTTATTTGTTTGAAAAAAACCCGTAATTTGCCCTTTACGTTTCCTATCATCTGTATTTGGCTGATTGCTTCTTCGGGGTGTCTTTTAACTTGTTCCTCTGTGCCGCACATTTCCTGTAAACTGGCAGGTAGGGGGGCTTGATGAGATTGAGGATGTTAGATGGCATTGTGTACTTCTCATTGCATAGCATCAGGAGACCTGTGTCTGCTTGTCCCACTTTTTTTTTTTTTCTTCTAAATTCTCACCTGAGAGTGGGAGAGGGAAAGATAGAGAGAAACATCGATGTGTTTCTCTCACATCGATTGGTTGACTCCTGTACGAGCCCTGCTGACCAGGGCCCAGACTGGGGAGGAGCCCGCAACCGAGGTACATACCCTTCATGGGAATTGAGCTCGGGACCCTTCGGGCCGCAGCCTGATGTTCTATCCACTGAGCCAAACTGGCTAGGGCTGCTTATCCCACTTGTAAGATATTAAGATCCCAACATCATAAGATTTCCCATTTCCCATTCACCTAATGGTTTTAGTATCCATTGATGAAAATTGCCTAGATCCATTACTTCTTTAGAAGTTACAAAATGATGCTTTTCTTTTTCTTTTTTGTTAATCCTCATCCTAGGATATATCCTCCCGCCCCCCCCCCCCTATTGGGCCAATTTGGTCTCTAGTGTATAACAAGCCCCCCTCCTCTTCATTTTGTTTTATACCATTTATTTGTTTGAAAAAACCCCTGCACGAGCCCCAGAGGGGATCTAGCCTCCAACTGAGGTATGTGCCCTTTACTGGAATTGAACCCGAGACCCATCAGTCCATGGGCCAATGCTCTAACCACTGAACCAAACCAGTTAGGGCCAAAATGATGATTTTCTAATTTTTGTTATGCTTTCTACATAGTTTAGCTGGAATACAAAGAATTTCCCTTTTCATCTATTTGTTTACCTATACAAAAAAAGGCAGTTTGATTTTCCTCAAGGAAGAATGTTCGCCCCTTTCTCTTGATAAATTTTCAGAATAATTTCTGAATTGGTGCTCTAGCAACCTCCAAAGCTGACCAATGAAGATTTTTTTTAAAGTATCGCTGTGAACTCATGGATTTTTATGTATTTGAAACACTTCAATCCATTGGAGTCACTGTTCTTTTGTGTGCTAAAATTGTTCCATTTCTGGCAAACGGGAACCCCTACAAATGGCCTCCTGGGTTCTTTTCATATGATCCCAATAGTTTTTTTTAAAAATAACTTCCTTGTTTTTCTGATACAATAAGATGCTCCAGGGCAATTTTGCCTTCCTCCCCCTCCCCCAATTTGGAATCAGCCATTTCCCAAGGAACTCTGGCTCCTTTTAGTAGGAAATACTATTTAGAGACCAAAATCTGCATGCTAAATGTTTTAAAATTATAATATTAATATTACTACTAACAGTAAAAAACAGTGAATGCTGTTTGAGGTTTCTATGTGGTTCTTTTTGTCCTCAGGACATTCACCTGTATCCCATTCGGCATGTACAAAATATTGTATTTTTAAGACATCTGAAATCATGTGTGGATTTTCTGATATAAAGTTAGGTTCATTTATTTTATATTTATTTTAATCTTTAGGAATATTTTTCATTTTTATTCAATTCTGTTTTTAATTACACAACATATTTACAGTGTTCCTGTCCTTTCTCTCTGAAATTAATAAATATATATTTAAATATCTTTTTAAAAAAATATACTTTATTGCTTTTTTAGAGAGAGCGGAAGGGAGTGGGATAGAGAGATAGAAACATCAATGAGAGAGAAACTTCATCAATCAGCTGCCTCCTGCATGCCCCCCACAGGGGATGGAGCCCACAACCTGAGCATGTACCCTGACTGATGGCCTCTTGGTTCCACGTTCAACCGCTGAGCTACACAGGCCGGGCTACATTTAAATATCTTTAAAAAACAACAAGGAGAGCGGAAGGGAGGGGGATAGAGAGATAGAAACATCAATGAGAGAGAAACTTCATCAATCAGCTGCCTCCTGCATGCCCCCCACAGGGGATGGAGCCCGCAACCTGAGCATGTACCCTGACTGATGGCCTCTTGGTTCCACGTTCAACCGCTGAGCTACACAGGCCGGGCTACATTTAAATATCTTTAAAAAACAACAAGAACAAAAAAAAAGACATCAGCTTCTGTCTGTCCCTGCCACCTTTCCCCCTCCCTCCCCTGTAGAAGATTATTTTTGGTGTTTAGTTTACTCATTCATTGTTTCATTTTGAAGATATAAGTAAATATACATTCATAAAATTACGTAAAACTTTCTAAATCACTTTATATATCTTTAAGAGATCATCCTCATTCCTTTTTACTGCTATATTATACTCCACATTCTTTTCCTTTTAAAAAATTGATTTCAGAGAGGAAGGAAGAGGGAGAGAGAGAGAAACATCAATGATGAGAGAGAATCATTGATTGGCTGCCCCCACATGCCCCACACTGGGGAGTAAGTCCGCATGTGCCCTGGACCGGAATTGAACCTGGGACCCTTCAGTCCGTAGGCTGACGCTCTATCCACTGAGCCAAACTGGCTAGGGCTCTACTCCACATTCTGAGTGTATTCAACCAATCCCCTACTGATGGACATTCGGGCTGCCTCCACTTTTTGCCATTGCAAACAGTGCTGTAATGAGTGGTCGTGTGTGCATGTGTCATTTTATGTTTTTGGAGGGGGTCCTTGGATTGATTCCAAGAGATAAGATTACTGACTAACTGTATGTATGGTTTTGCTTGATGTTACCAACTTTCCCTTCTTAGGGGCAGCATACCTTCAGTCAGTCCTTTTTAAAGTCTGACCTTAGTCACTGCTGCTGCAGTGCCTGTTCATCCTTGGCTTCCCTGGGTCAGGGGGTCATGATCAAGTCTGCATCCTCTCTGCTGTATCTCAGGCCTGGGCAGGCTCAAATCCCCACCCACTCATGTCCCCACTTCCCCCTCCCCAGCTGGATCCTGTTTGATGAGAAGAACTTTGAGGGTGACCAGCACATTCTCTCCGAGGGCGAGTTCCCCACTCTCACAGCCATGGGCTGTCTGGCCTCCACAGTCCTGGGCTCCCTCAGGAAGGTACCCCTGGTGAGTACCCCTGTTCGTTCCAGGCAGTCCCTGAGGCAGGGGGTGCTGCTAGGGGTGTCCCAGGCCTCTTCTCTGTGCAGTGGGCTGCTGGGGCTTGGATCCTGTCTTCCCCAGAACTTCCCCAGGTCCCCCTAACCCCAGGGCTTCAAAGCCAGTTCAACTTACTAGAGATTTATCGAGTACCTGCCAAGATAGGTCCTGGGAACAATGACATAACTCGGGCACAGCCCCACCTTCAAGAAACCCAGGGTCACAAGATGGCTCTGCTGTCGTGCGGGGAGCAGAGGGGTGGGTCAAGGCAGTGGGGTTAAGACAGTATAATACTGTTACAAGACTGTTATAAGACAGGGGTGGGTCAAGACAGTGAGCCAGAATAAGTCATGATGTCCTGGACCAGATGGAGAGAAGTGACCCGGGCCCCATTAAAGAGCTCAGCCTGTAGGACTTGGTGACCAGCCCGGGGTGGGCCAGCAGTGGCTGCACGGGCCGAGCAGCTGAGGTTCACTGAGCACACACCATGCTCAAAGCCCGTGCTCCCGGCTTTAAAAAAGGCTTTTCAGCCGGCCGGCGTGGCTCAGTGATTGAGTGTCAACCTATGGACAAGGAAGGCGGGGTTCGACTCCCAATCAGGGCACATGCCCAGGTTGTGATCCGCAGTGTGGGCTGTGCAGGAGGCAGCTGATCAATGATTCTCTCTCATCATTGATGTTTCTATATCTCTCTCTCCCTTCCTCTCTGAATATATATATATATATATATTTGTTTTAAAGGTTCTCCATATACTATATACTAAGGCATTCAGTCCTCACCACAACCCTATACGGTTTGTTACTATTCCCATCTCCCTTTTCCAGATGTGAAAACTGAGGCACACACGGCTGGTAACAGGCAGAGCCAGGTTCTCCCTGAGGCAGCCCAGCTCCTGAGTCCGAGTTCTTTACAACTACTATCTGGGCTCTGAAGGCAGATAGTCCTGGTTCTGAAGCCCAGCTTCGGGGGTTTAATCTCCCTCCTCAGTTTCCCCTCTGCTAAGCAGGGATGATAGCAGCACCTACCTTATAGGGTTGTTGAGAAGTTAGAATGAGATCAGGTAACGTGCTTAGCACAGAATCTGGGATAAGCCTCACATATATGAGAACTACTATAATTAACAGTATTATTAGTATACTATTCTTAGAAGTGCCATTTACTGGGGAGACGGGCTGAGGGGCATTGGGGGGCCTAGTCTGGCACGTGCTATATCTGAGAGTCCAGCAGTGTGCAGGAGTCAGGAGCCCTGTGGGGTGCAGCTCAGGAGGGAAGAAGGCCTGAGTACCCATCTGGGAGTCAAGGGGCTGAGTCTGGGGCCAGGGCTGCCATGGTTTCAACCTTTCCCAATGCCCCGGACCCCCAGCACTTTTCAGAGCCCTCCATTTTTCTGTACGGACTGGAGTGCTTCGAGGGGAAGGAGATTGAGCTCAATGGAGAGGTGCGGAGTCTCCAAGCCGAGGGTTTCAACAACCACGTGCTGTCCGTGCGGATCCAGGGGGGCACGTGAGTGGGTTGTGGGGAGAACAGAGGGTGGGAGGCTGTTAGTAAGTGAAGGCTGGTTCCAGGTTTCTTCCCTGAGGGGACTCAGAGGGTGGGCTCCCTCCCAGCCAGGAGGGAGGGAGAGGTGGACTGAGGAGGGTCATTGATTCTCAGGCTGGGACCTCAGCCCAGGGGGGAAGGGGCTCTTCAGGACCCTCCTCTGCCCTGCAAACCTCAGTCTACTTCCCAGCCTCCCTCTCTCACCTCGGGACCCTAACCCCAGGCAGAGGAGTCCCAGCAGCAGAGGAAGGGAGGTGAAGAAAGTTCTGACCTTCGTGCCTTCTCCTCCACCTTTCTGTCTGTCTGTCTGTCTGTCTGTCTGTCTCTGGCACTTGCTGGGCCCAGCTGGGTGCTGTGTGAACACAGCGACTTCCGGGGCCGCCAGTGGCTGGTGGGCAGCTGCGAGATCACGAACTGGCTGACCTACAGCGGGACCCAGAGGGTGGGCTCCCTCTACCCCATCAAGCAGGTGGGTAGCATGTCAGGTTGAGTGTGTCCATGACGGCCTGTCTGGGGGTGTGTCTATCTGTGTATTTCCCACACTCAGCATTTGTGTGCTTTTGTCACAATTTCGCCACATCGTCCTTCCTCTTGAACTATTATCTACTTAATATTTTTTTCTAAATCAGCACCATTTTTTCCTACTCTATCCTTATCCTAAGAAATAATAGTCATAAAATCATGAGTTTGATGTGGATGGATGATTTTTCATTAATAGGAAATATAATAAATACATTACCACTAAAAATCTTTTTACTGCCATTAAATTTTTTTAAAAATATATTTTATTGATTTTTTACAGAGAGGAAGAGAGAGGGAGAGGAATAGAGTTAGAAACATCGATTCAGCTGCCTCTTGCACGCCCCCTACTGGGGATGTGCCCGCAACCCAGGTACATGCCCTTGACCAGAATAGAACCTGGGACCCTTCAGTCCGCAGGCCGACACTCTATCCGCTGAGCCAAACCAGCTAGGACTAAATTTTTTTTAGAATATATTTTTATTGATTTCAGAGAGGAAGGGAGAGGGAGAGAGAGATAGAAACATCAATGATGAGAAAGAATCATTGATTGGCTGCCTCCTGTATGCCCCCGACTAGGGATTGAGCCCGCAACCTGGGCATGTGCTCTTGACTGGAGTCAAACCCGGGACCCTTTAGTCTGCTGGCTGAAGCTCTATCCACTGAGCCAAACCAGCTAGGGCTGCCATTAAATTTTTAACCATAGGTTTATCCATGCAGGACTAAAAATTATCTCATGTAGTAAGCACACCTCACTTTGGGCAGCACTGATTCCACATGTCTGGCCATGTGTCTGATTTCTTACATGTGCGTTAATGCGGAGGCGTGGCCCTGGGTTCTGTGTGTGTGCATGTGCTGTCTGAGGGTGTTTCTGTGTCTGTGCAGTCATTTGTGTCCGTGTGTCTGTGTTGGTGACCTGTGGTGTGTGTGTTTATGACTACACGTGCCTGTGCCCCTGTTGAGAGTGCGCGTGTCTTTGTGCGAGGATATTGTGTGGTCCCCACGTTCGCAGACTCTTAGAACGCCAGTGCTAGAAGAAATCCGGAGACTATCTCCAACGCCTGCATTTTACAGGTGGGGAAAGAAAGGCCCAGAGAAGTGGACAAGGATTTGCTCTGCAATCTTGGGCAAGTACTGTACTTCCATGGACCTCAGTTTCCTCATCTTTAAAATGGGGGTCATACATACGATGGAGTTGGTTTGAGGACTGAAGAAAAATAATGTATGTTAAGTCCTTAGTACAGTGCTTGAGTGGGTAAACACCCAACAGACACTAGCTGTGATTCTGTTACTGTTACGGCCATCACCAATACCCGAGGTCCTCGCCGATTTGAGGCAGAGCCTGACCTGATAACAGACAGGGCAGTGTCTGCCGCCCATGGTTCCTCTTTAGTGGGGGCGTGTGTGCACGTCTGAAGACCTACATGCATCCATCCTCTTAGCAAACACACGTGCCCGGTGCCGAGTAGGCTGGGGGACCCGTGCATCGGTTGGGATGTGTGAGTCTGCCTGGCTCTGAGTATCTGTGTGTTTGTCTCTGCTGCAAACTTCTGTGCAACCACGTGGACCTTGGGTGTGTCTGCCAGCGTGTCCCTCTGCACACGTCTGTGGGTATCTGTGGACATGGGACTGTATGGGTGTGGATGTGTGCTCCGGATGGGGCTTTGGAATTTGTGTGGGAAACAAGGGGAGACTTCAAGGAGGGCCAAGGGTGGCTTAGGGGCAGGAATGAGGGCTTTGGCGGTTGGGATACCGGAGGGTCCAGAATTATGGGTGTTGGGAGCCCAGCGGGGAGCATCTCTAACCCAGGAGCCCTGACTCTCAGCTCCCTCCACTCCCCAGCGCCGGGCTTATTTCCGCCTCTGGAATGTGGCACTGGAGGGGTTCCTGGCAGTGCCAGACCATGTGGAAGACATGAAGGCGGGCCGTGTGGTGGTTGCTGAACCGGGAGCTGGAGGTAGCTGCGTCTGGTACTACGAAGATGGGCTGCTGAAGAACCAGGTACTGGTTTGGTGGCTGAGACAGGGACACCAGGGCCCCCGGCATTCACAGACTCACCGTGGGTAGTGCCAGCTCAGCCAGTAACAGGACCCACCCGGGGTCAGAGAGACACACACTCAGACACCAAGACCCTGGGAGTGGAGAATGCAGGCTGTGCATCCACCCCTGGGCAATTTATCCTCTTCTCTGGGCCTCGGTCCCTCATCTGCAAAACAAGGGCATTGAACCAGATGCTTCTAAGGGACTTCCCAGCTCTGATGTCCTGTGACAGAACTTGGGTCCTAGTAATAACGATAGATTCACTCCACAAACATTTCCTGAGCACCTATTGCGTACCAGGCCTTGTTCTAGGTGCTGGGAATACAGCCTTGGGAAGACAGAAACGACGCTTGCCCTCCTGAAGCGTACATCCTCCTGGGGAGTGGCAGAAACAACTTAAATGAGTAAAATACCTTAGCACCTTAGATGATGCAACAGAACAGCGATTTTCAACCTTTTTCATCTCATGGCACAACATAAGCTAATTACTAAAATTCTGTGGCACACCAAAAAATATAAGTTTTGCTGATCTGACAAAAAATAGATATCATTTTGATTGATTTACCAACAAATAATAATAATAGTAATTACCTATCCTTTTTGCTCCAAAGTGACTTTTAAAAAAACAACAACACAGGTGCCTATACTTGTATATAAGGGTTTCTGGTATCAAGAATTGGCCAATCGAAGGCAACCTAATTATGTGGCCTGACCAATAAGATGCAACTCTATTATATGATCTATATATTTATGGTTTAAGACCGGGCATTCACACCAGATGGCTATTGCTGTGTTGGCTGTTGTCATTTTTTATTTGACAACCTAAGGGAAAGGAGGTCAGTGCCCCTGACTAAATAGTCAGGTATTGCATGTTTTAAAAATTCTTGCGACACACTGGTTGAAAATTGCTGCAATAGAGAAAAAATAAACGAGTAAAAGGAATAGGAAATATCGGCAGCTCTGACAAGGAGAGCCCTTTCTGGGACGATGACGTTCGAAGGAGGCAGCCATGCAGGTACCTGAGGGAAGAATGTTCCAAGTAGAGGGAACTGTAAGTGCAAAGGCCCTGAGGTAGGAACATGCCTGGCATTTTCTAGGACCAGCAAGGCCGCCTGAATGACTAGAGTGAAGTGAGTTGAGAAAGGAGTAGCAGATGGTATCAGAAAGGGTATGGGAGTGCAGGTCCTTACAGGCTATTAAAAGGGTTTGTCTTTGAGTCAGAATGAAAGGGAACACTATGTACCAGGTGCCATGCGAAGCCCTTCACATGCACACCTCTTTAATCCTTAGAGCAGCGGTTCTCAACCTGTGGGTCGCGACCCCTTTGGTGGTCGAACGACCCTTTCACAGGGGTCGCCTAAGACCATCCTGCATATCAGATATTTACATTACGATTCATAACAGTAGCAACATTACAGTTATGAAGTAGCAACGAAAATAATTTTATGGTTGGGGTCACAGCATGAGGAACTGTATTTAAAGGGCCAGAAGGTTGAGAACCACAGCCCTAGATCCACCGTGCCGGCGAGACTGAGACCTGCCACGCTGTGAGACCCATCAATGCACCTCCTGGTGACCGATCGTTTGGTTGTTACAGCGTTACAGCGTTACAGCCACTGGCCTTTTATAATATAGACTAGTGACCCAGCACGCAAACTCGCGTGAGACCCGTTTCCTGGAGGAACGAATATTTGTCCAGCCCTTTTATCATTTCTCACCCTCACAACAACCAGCACTCAGGGATTCCCATCTCCAAGGAAACCAACCTTTAGGAGGATTAAGAGATTTGCCCAGGGTCATAATCCATAAGGACTTAAAGCGGGGTGTGCCGGGGGTGTCTTTCTTTGGTGGGGTCCCTGTGGAGAGGAACAGTGCCTGATGACCTCCTGGGGCCTCAGGTGGCCCCCACCATGAGCCTGCAGGTGATCGGGCCCCCCAGCGCAGGCTCCAAGGTGGTGCTGTGGGCCGAGAGCCGCCTGCCCCGTCAGACATGGAGCATGTCACACAGCCCATCAGTGTGTCTGTGGAGGCTTGTCTGATGTGAAAGCCTGTGTTTTGGGAGTCAGTCGTGGAAGGTTTCCTGGAGGAACGAATATTTGTCCAGCCCTTTTAGGATTTCTCACCCTCACAACAACCAGCACCAGGGATTCCCATCTCCAAGGAAACCAACGTTTAGGAAGATTAAGAGATTTGCCCAGGGTCACAATCCATAAGGACTTAAAGCGGGGTGTGCCGGGGGCGTCTTTCTTTGGTGGGGTCCCTGTGGAAAGTAACAGTGCCTGATGACCTCCTGGGGCCTCAGGTGGCCCCCACCATGAGCCTGCAGGTGATCGGGCCCCCCAGCGCAGGCTCCAAGGTGGTGCTGTGGGCCGAGAGCCGCCTGCCCCGTCAGACATGGAGCATCAACGACTTGGGCCACATCTGCAGCCAGATGTTTGAAGGTCGGATCCTGGATGTGAAGGGTAAGGTGGGGATGTGTGCGGGAGAAGGCACCTGCGGGCAGGGGAGTCCCCAGCTTGCTCTGACCAACTGTCTCCCCATCTCTTGCTCCTCCCCAGGTGGCCGGGGCTACGACCGGGACCATGTGGTGCTGTGGGAGCCGACCAAGGACAGGGCTTCCCAGATCTGGACTGTTCATGTGCTCTGACACCCCACCCTCCCAGGCCTGGAGGCTTTCTCGGGGATGAAATGTTTTTATAAGTGTTTGTTGCTATTGTTGTTGTGTAACATGAGTTGTTTTCTAATATCCTGCTGGGTAGCCTCCTCTCTGTGCACTTGGTACTTGGAAGTGGGGTGAGGATTCCTTCACCTGCCTTGGTCACCCTACATCCAGGCTGACTTCTTCCCTCCCAGCTTGTCTGGGGCTCAAATGTAAGGCCTCCCTCTGCCACCAGAGGGAGCCCTGGGTCCAGACTTACTAACTGGCGAGTGTGGACTTTTTTTTTTTAAATATATTTTATTGATTTTTTTAAAAAATATTTTATTGATCTTTGACAGAGAGGAAGGGAGAGGGATAGAGAGCCAGAAACATCGATGAGAGAGAAACATCTATCAGCTGCCTCCTGCACACTCCCCACTGGGGATGTGCCCGCAACCAAGGGGGACCTGGCTGGGACCCTGTCCGCAGGCCGACGCTCTATCCACTGAGCCAAATCAGTTAGGGCGTGAGTGTGGACTTTTAAGCAGTTACCCCAAATGATGTGTGCCGAGAACCTGCTCTGAGCCAGGTTTGGCACCTTTCTCACTTAGTGGGAACATGCATGGGGTTTTTGATGCTCCCCCCACCCCCCATGGGGAGCACAACGACCAATTTATTTTTAAACAGGGAAGGAACTAAGGAAATGTGTGCCTGTGTGTGAGACGCAGGGGCTGTGGGGACACACACAGGAACCAAGCCCCTTGGCCCCTCCCTCAGGGAGCTCACAGGTCCAGGGGCGGATTCTGATGAGGAAATGTCAGGTCTCTGCAAGGTGATCCCAAGGGCAGGAGCCTCAGCATTTGGACTTTGGATCAGGGAAGCTGGGGTGGGAGCTCCCTGGCACCACCTCCTGCTGATGGGGGCTTGAGTGGCTCCTTGGTGCTGTTGCAAACCTGGCGTTTGGGGCCCCCTGATGTCAATGACCACACACAGGCCCCAGCTCCAGGTACAGGACAACTTTATTGACCCCAGCTGGGTGATGCTAACACCTCCACATCAGTATCTCCCTCTGTAGGCCATTGCCCCCAAGGAACTTTCTGTCAATTTCCACAACTGGTGGTCTCTGGTCTCAACCCCGCCCAAGGACTGGGGATGGGGAGTTTCTCTTGCCATGTCTCAGAGGACACAGGGCTGGGGCTGATGCCTGTCGCCTCAGCTGAGGTGGAGGAGCTGGAGGAGGGTGTTGGCCAAGAAGATAAGGACACCGCCACTGCCCAGGCTGCTGAGTGCTGGGGCCCCGCCCTTGATTTTCTTGGTGCCGAAGGTGGTGGTGGTGGTAGCCCTGGTAGTGGAGGTGGTGGCAGAGGTGGAGGTGGTGGAGGCGGAGGAGGTGGTGGAAGTGGTGGAAGTGGCAGGTGCGGAAATGTTTTGCAAGATTCCACTTTGTATCTGCAAGAGAAGTGGGGCAAGCTCAGGGGGCTTTTGAATCTCATGTTTGTTTAGAGACACAGATCCCCCACCCAATACAATAGTCTTCACTTCTCTGTCCCATGATGATGACGTCTGCCACCAGTTCCCATGGAGACGATTGGCTGCTTCCTGCCTTAACACAGTCCCTAGCCCACCTCCCACAGAACCTTCCTGTCATCTCCAGACCACCAGCTCCTCCAGCATGTGGAAGACAGGGGAGGCTGTGGCCCCGGCCCCTGAGCTTACCAGTTGGGCCAGAGGCTTAACCTATCTGAGCCTCAGTTTCCTCATATTCTGAATGGAGAGAAGAGCACATTACAGTTG